GCTCCAGGCATGCAATAATTACTGATCAGATGTCATTTTAAACAGTTATCTAACATCATGCCCATATTTTACCTATGTCATCACAATACATACAATACATAATAACTTTATTTTTTTTTAAATATTTTAATTACTTTTTAAGTTTATATTCTTTGTCAGGCACTGTCATAGAGTGTAGGTAAAAATAATGAGTCCTTACTGTTTACATTATTTTTTACACATATTGTCCCCGACGAACCTGATCATTCATTGCCAATATGTGTTCTTTTATCTTATCCTGAGCCGATGCATATTTATTTGATACTAGCGATCTGCCCTGGCTTTGCACGGGTGATTTCTAGATCTTGACAACAGTGCCACCTACCGGGTCCAATTCTAAATCTAAACCATCCAGAGACCCACTCAAATACACACGAAAAGATTCATCACAAACAGTCGAGCCATTTTTGAGTTTTAGCGAGACAAAAAAGATTTAAATATATAGGTATACTATAAAGCGGACATAGGACATAGCGGAACATTTGCATGCAAAAACTTTGAGCTCGCGCGTGTGTGACGCCCTCTAGCTAAATATAGCAAAACTACGCTGAATATTTATTAGGAAAACATTTCAGCTATTCCTCAGTAGGTGACGCTAATAAATGTAAGGTTAAAACTCGTTTCAGGAATGTTATCGTTGCGACATTAAAGACATTTAAGTAGTAGTAGTAATAGACCGGACATCAGCAGCAAAATTGTCGTCTGTAACTTATGTCCTATAGGATATATCTCCGATTTTTGTCATTTAGTCTTTGTGACATCTTCAAAAAGTCAAGACGCATTCGTTTCATATATTTAAAATAAAAATTTTAAAGAAAATATGCCCGGTTGTGCATTAAGATATTGTAAGTCAGGATATGGAGCAAAAAATGAACGTGATTTCGGTTTATTATCGTAAATATAACATATATTTACCGAACAATATTTAAATTTTATTATTTCTAGTAGATTGTTCTAGAATATTTATTTTTATTGTAATAAGCGCCCTCTGTTATCCAGTAAACATCACCATTTAGTTACCAATTTTAAAGTTAGTGATTGACGACGTTTATCGATTGGGATTATCGATAATAAATATACAGCATGCCGATTTAATCCTTTACAATATTTAAGGAGGTAAATATTAACAGTCAAGGACACTGTACCCACGTGCTAGAGCCATGCTGCAGCTATATTAATTGTATAGTTGTAGCACGAATGGGTCGGCTCGACCGGGGAAGGAGCACGCTCTCACAGAATACCAGCGTAAAATAGCGGCTTAATGGTGCTGTGTTTCGTATGGTGAGTGTAGAGAACCGGAGACCCTTTTTACTGGAAAAGAGACATAGATGTAGATGTCTATGGCCCACGGTGACCACTTACCATCAGGTGGACTGTGTGCTCGCTTGTCACCCTTATCCTATAAAAAAACCCATACCAACACAAATGAGTAGCATATACCAACTTTGCTAAGTACCCTACTTTATGTGGAGCAAGAGTGGGAAATATTTTTAGGCATGCTGATGAGATTTTCTGTGTTGCTTATAAGCATGCTAAGGATACTTGCTGTGTTGATGTTTAGCAATACAGCAAGTCTACTCTTTTACATACCAGGCTTCATTGTCTGGTGGTTTTACACCGGGCTTCATTATCTGGTGGTTCTCAAGGACAAAGCCATTATAGATCCTCGTTTACAGTGATAGGAGAGGGCAATAGATTTCTTACATTAAAACCAATTTCTACTGTTAAAGATATTAGATGCAAGAAGTTGTAGGTTAAGCCTGAATTAGAAAATAAGGTAAAAACTTAAAATAACAATTTTATTGATGTGGGTAGTGTCTTTAAGTACTGCAGCTGATGAAACGTGAAAAATCGTGAAACGGCTTTCAAGTGCAGTGTTTTTCTAAAATATTTTAGATTTGAAGTGTATTTTTGTAACAGAAACGAATTTAAAACATAGAGGCGCTCTCTTATTGGATTTGGCGTTTATCGATGTGTTTTTAACGCCGACCGATCAATCATATGCTATTATTATTGCAACTAGTGGACCGAGTGACGTCATCCATGATGCCACCAAGGTGGCAACCAAAGTAACTGCTGTTTGAATTGATTCTTAGTTATTGGAAATTAAATATTTTATTTCATGATATTAAGGGGGCGTAAAAAGTTAATATGATTTTTTTGTGTAATGTAAGTCATGATGGAAGTCATAAATAGATTTATACAATAAAACAATCGTGTATATTTCCTATTATTATATCGAAAAACATTTCAATCTTAGCAATCTTCAACAACATTATCGATATTTTGATATCGAAACGGTAACATTCCTAAAACGAGGTTATATTTATTAGCGTCACCTACTGGGGAATAGCTAAAATGTTGTCTTAATAAATGCTTAGCGTTGTTTTGCTATTTTTAGCTAGAGGGTGCCATACGAGCACTAGCTCAAAGTTTTTGTATATAAATATTCCCAATGTCCGCTCTATAGTATACCTATTTAAATCTCTTTGTTCGACATCAAAGTATCGATAATGTTGTTGAAGGTTACTAAGTCTGTAATGCTTTACGATATAATTATAGGGAATATGCATGCTTTTTTATTGTACAAATTAATTTATTATGACTCCCATCACACCAAAAAAATGATATAAACTTTTTAAGTCATAAATAACGTCATGAATGAAATGAAATGTCATGAAATAAAATATTTAATTTCCAATAACTAATTATCAATTCAAATAACAGTCACATTGGTGGCATCTTCGATGACGTCACTAGATCCATTAGACGCTATAATAATAGCGTATAATTGGTCGGTCAGCGTCGAAGGCACATCGCGAAACGTCAAATCCAATAAGAGAGCCCCTCCATGTTTTTCAAATTCGTTTCCTTTATAAAAATGCACTTTAAATCTAACATATTTTAGGAAAACACTGAACTTAAAGGTCGTTACACGATAAATTATTACACAAATTCACAAGTTTGCGCGCTTACCGCTAAAAAGAACACCTTTGTCGTATCTCCTCAATTTCAGAGCACTTCCCTTGTTGCTGCAGCCAGTAGCGGAATCTTCGGCGTCAATATATCGAATGACCTGCAGTAGCATGGTCACTTGGAAGAGGAAGCTAAATTAGCTTCTAAATAGCTTGGCATACTCAGTAGACGGGACAGTATTTCATGCCTGCACACCGTTTGCAACTTTACAAGCGCAGGTTCGGCCTCACATGGAATACTGTTCTCATCTCTGGGTTGGGGCTCCCCGGTGCGAGCTCCTTCCACTTGACCGCATAGAGAGCAGAGTGGCTCGAATATACTTGCTATAATAAACCAAAATCACATTCAGTTTTTGCTACAATATCGGGACTTACAATAACTTAATGCACAATCGGGCATATTTTCCTTAAAAATATTTTTAAATTTAGGAAAAGAATGCCTCTTGAACTTTTGACGATCTCACTAAGACTAAATGACACAAATCTGAAATATATGCTATAGAACATTAGTAAGAGGTGACCATTTTGTTGCTGATGTCCGATCTATGACTACTACTTAAATGTCTTTGAGCGAGACTAACGGACAACAATTGATTTTTATATATAGAGATAATTTGTAGGGAATTTTTTAGTGATAAAATTGTTGAATTTAGACACTATATCCGTTTTTTTTTATATAGGATAAGGGTGACAAACGAGCACACAGTCCACCTGATGTTAAGTGGTTGCTGCGGCCCATAGACATCTACATCTATCCTCGATTACAAATCAAAATACAGATGCGTTGTCACCCGTGAGGACTAAGATGGAATGTCCCATTTCCAGTAAAAAGGTTCTCCGGTTCTCTACACTCAACATACGAAACACAGCACCGTTAAGCTGCTATTTTACGCTGGTATTCTGTGCGACTGTTCTCTGAAGTTAACCCACAGGGCAATATGTGATAGTTGATATTCTCCTACACCGTCACTATACGGTTCTTTCCACAAATATTTTCCACGGGACTTCTTTATTAGGACAGAATTTAGTTTAAAACTGATTATAAACGACTCTTTGTATAAAATGGAATGCGTTCTTTTAGCTGAAACACAGTTTGAATACTGTTTCCGATATCCGGTACCGTGTTACCAACTAAAACGCACTGTAAGCACACCAGACTTTGATTTATACTGAAATATAGTTTATTATATATAATATATTATGAAATCAATATTATAATATTGTATGTATTAATATTATTTACATACTTTTTGATAGAATAAGGGTGACTAACGAGCACACAGTCCTAGTACCTGATGGTAGGTGCATGCTGTGGCGCATAGACATTTACATTTACCCTCGATTAAGACTAAAAATGCGAATGCGTTGTCACCCCGGGAAGTAAGATGAAATGTCTAGTTTCCAGTAAAATTGTCCCGTATTCTCTACACTCACCATGCAAAACACAGCAACATTAAGCTGCTATTTTACGCCGGTATACTGTGAGAGCGTGGTCCTTCCCTACTGTTTATGCACACTTCTATTGTATGTTTATATGAAAATGATCACCTTCACCAAGGATTAGGAAAAGGCCACCTAATTATATCATAAATATATTATATGAGTATTAACTGTCTCCCGGCGCGTTGCTATCGCAGAAGAATCAATATTGTGGAAATATCGTTTTAAATTTGGAACAGTTATATTGTTTAATTAGGAATGCATTCATTAATGATGAATGATATAAGTTTCAAATAAATTTGTCGGTACACACGTGAGCCACCTACTATAATTTAATTGCACTATGCCTATAACCCTCGCGCAATTACGAGAAATAAGTTGACAAAGTTTTACAGCAATCCGATGAACGGTATGGCAGCGCATAATATACGAACAATCAAATATTTATTTTTATATATTTGATAAATTAAAGATTTGTTATATGTCTATGTAATATGTGTGCAATAAGGATTATAAAATAAATACTCTCAATATCCCTTTTAGACAATGGCGCCCGTTAAATTCGGGCTCTTCAAAGCCCGAAGTCGGGACCATCAGGAGCAACCATCCACGGAGAACCTACTGCAGAGCAGCAACAGTAGTGACAATGGTAAAACAAGAGCATCGTATTTGTTTGTATTTGTTCAACTCGTATATACATATATTAGATAGAAAAATAGATAGAGAAGCAATACAAAAGCAATAAAATTAATTCGTTGCTTAGATGCTCACGCAATCGAGCAAAGGTGGGGGGAGGGTTCTCAAAATAGCTAAGATATCATATTTATTTTTTACGCGGATATTAGCTAATTAACTTTTAACATGTTTAATATAATGGATTACCGCAAAGTAACGCCTGATTCTACAATCTTAAAGAGATAAAAAATTAAGTTGCTGAAAAGTGTTTTCAAAGCTAATACTAATTACATAATCTTTTTAGTAATAACGCCGAAGATGAAAGTCATCTTATTACAACAAAAATGTTTATAATTACTAATTATTAGTCTCAGGTTTACTCAGACAAACTTTTATTCCACTAAGTTTAAAAATAACGAATTTTTTATACATATCTTTTTAAACTTTTCATTTGTACTTTTTTTAGTTCCCGGCTCACCGATACCATCGACAAGTAAAGGATTGCAGCAAAGCCTTTCGACTATCAGCATTTCGATGCTTAACCTCGACAGTGATGAGGACGATGTAAGTATTTTAAAAAAAACAATAAGTCTTCGTATTCATAAATTCTATAATCGTTTCATGCTGGACATAATTTTCACTCGGTCTTGTGATGATATGGGTTTTCTAAGCATTATCTATATAAGTCATGTCAATTTCACGGCCGCAATCAAATCTAAAGGTTTTAACATAATATATACATAAACACTCACGCCTGTCACCCAGAGGGGTAGGCAGAGATTATGGACTTCCATTTGGCACGATCCTGACACACCTCTCTCGCTTCCTCCACATCCATATACCTACGCATACACGCTCGTCGGTTAAAGGTACTCTTGATTTGGCCCATTTTTAATATATCGCCAATTTGGTCGATAAACTTTCGCCTAGGGCGACCCTTCCCGACTATGCCGTTCACTTCTGCAACATAAATTTGCTTTGTCACTCTTTCCTCATTCATTCTTTCTACATGGCCAAACCACCGAAGCATTCCTTTCTTAATCCTGGTCACAACATCATCTTGCAAACCACACTCTTCTCTTATTAAACAATTTCTCACTCTGTCATTCAGCTTCATCCCTAACATACTCCTTAATGACCGCATTTCTACAGCATTTATTCTACTCTCATGCTTCTTCTGCCACACCCAACTTTCAATACCATACATTAAAGTAGGTACTAACACAGCATTGTGAATTGCCATACGTGCCTTTTTGGACACATTCTTACTTTTCACAATAGAGTGTAGAGCCCCATTCACTCTATTTCCTGCATTCACTCGTCGTTCTATATCCTTATCATATAGATATGTGTATCCATCCCTGCTAAAAGGTTTTAATTACCTACTTATATGACAAAGTTCAGTAAACTAGGTGATGCTGCTGCTATATGCATTTAAAATAGCGCGCCTTTATAGAGAGATATAAAGAGTCCCTTACATTTATTTTTTTTAAATTTGGCCGCTGGTATACCCTTAATTTTGTAAATAAGTTTATTGTCGAGTTTGACACCTCTGATCTGCACTACTAATTGTATAAACACCTGAGCTTTGCTTGTCGTTATAGAAGTATGAATGATCTGGATGAAATGTAATTATATATACTTTATTTTATTGTGAGTCGCGTTCATAGACCGAGTCATACGCTAACCCAGAAAGCGAACACATCCATTGCCACACGTTCACAAAGCAATTCCATAGAGATAATTATTTTATTAAATTTAATTTATTATATGCCCAAATATACTTCCTTGTGGAATAGTTTACCACCAGCGATTTTTCCGGACCGATACGACTTAGGGACCTTCAAGAAAAGAGCCTACTCCTTTTTAAAAGGCCGGCAACGCTCCTGCAATTCCCCTGATGTTGCGGTTGTTCATGGGCGGCGGTAGTCACTTACCATCAGGTGAGCCGCATGCTCGTTTGCCCCCTCTCCTATAAAAAAAAAATACTTAGTAAGTAAAAGTTAAAAGTTATCTAAATACAAATTTCATACAAATCGTTAGAGCTGTTTTCGAGAAACAAATATCATATCATGTCTAGACACCTTGTTCTTCGAAATAATGGCAAGGACTACCTGCTGATTAGTGACCTCCAATACGGTTTTCGTCAGGGTTGATCAGCTGGTGATGTTTTAGTATATGTGACGTATAGACGAGCGGAGGCAGTAGAATCTAAAGGGGGACCTAGGTGGCTAGTTTGGTCATAATGAAGGCCTTCAATCAAGTAAGTCACAAAGCACTTCCTTCGAACCTATGTTCTTTCCGAGCAGTTAAGCAATTGAATCACCAGTTTTCTTTCTGAACAAAGTATCAAGGTGATAGTAGGCGGTGCATGCTCTGACTATAAGCCTTTTAATGCTGATGTTCCACAAAGCTTCGTGTTGTCATATACGCAGTTTCTTCTGCATATTTTGCACATATGTTGCAGACCAGTAACATTCACTGCTATGCGGAAGGCAGCACTAGTGATGCTTTTTATATTGGCCGTACCAATATTTTTAGGGAACACTTCGTCGAGTGCCGTAACAAAATTGTGTCTAAAGTCTTATCTTTGTAGAATCAAGTCTCGGCTTGGGAACGACTAAATCTACTCCAGCTTTACCCTCAGAAGACACAGATATATAAAGCGTTTACCGCCACAAAGAACCCCTTTGTCGTATCTATTTAATTTGTGAGTGAAGTTCATTTCCTTGGTCACTTGGAAGGGAAGGCTTAATTGGCCTCTAACAGAGCAGTATTGTGCCGGCACACTTCTTCACAAGACGCAAAATTGGCGTCACATGGAATATTGTTCTTATCTCTGGGCTGGGCCTAGCTCCTTTTACTTCACCACATCCAGCGAAAAGCAGCCTGATCGTCGACAGCTGAATCTTTTTTTGTCGGCTCGATGTACTGGCATTTGCGAGTAGCATTCCTTTGCATTTTCTATCACATTTACAACGGTGTTCAGAAGAATTGTTCAGATTGATTCCAGCTGGTGCATTTACAAGTTTTCTTTCTTGCAGAGAGAGCCGTGGTAGCTCATATGGGAGAGCCGTGGTAGCTCAGATGGTTAGCGCTCGCTGTAAGCTTCACAGTACTGGAGCAACCCCGGTTCGATCCCCGCCGCCACCAATGAAATTGTTAATTGCAATTTTAAGTGCTGATTTACCACGTGCTCGGCGGTGAAGGAAAACATCGTGAGGAAACATGCATGTCTGAGAAATAAGAAAAAAAATATTTCGAAGTTATGTGAAGTTCGGCAACAGGCATTGGGGCAGCGCGGCGGACATTTCCTTGCCCTAAAACCCTCTCAGAAATGAGAGGAGGCCTGTGCCCAGCAGTGGGACGTAAATAGGCTGCAACTTTTCTTGCCAAACTTCTGTATAGACTTTGTGGAAAGATGAAAAAGTCACATATAATTAAAATACTTTTAATCCTTACTTTTTTGCTAACCGTGACAACTCTAGGGCCGGGCGTTCGTTAATGTATGTCTCTCACCGGAATATCATTAAAAGCTAGCATCATTAGGAAACCTCTTAAAATTAAAAACAAACCATGTTAGGTCATTTGCCTAAATGAGACGTATATAAAAGGTTATTTATTTCTGGGCTGGCTTAACATAATTATAAAAATTGCATTAAAACCAGATTAAAACTAAATAATCTGGTTTTAATGCAATTTTTATAATTATGTTCACTTGTAGTAAAAGTTTTGACTATTTTATCTTTTAACGGAATGTTAGCGAGAAGCTATCTCCTTCTAGACGAGAGAGTGTGACGAGCAAAGGAGACGAAACACAGGTATAGTATAGGTCAAATATTTTCCTATACTAGCAATAACATAAATATATTTGAATTATACATAAATAATATCAAAATAACTGCCTTTGATTGAGCTGAGGGGGTTATTTGTATGCCTTTAAGACATGAATAACAATTTTTTTTTTAATTTTTGTCTGTCCGTCTATCTGTCGAAGCTAATCTACGGAATGGCTGAAAAGATTGTAATGAAACTTGACGAACAGATGGAGAGATGTCAGGAGTGATTTAGACCTTATCCGAAAAACTTGGAGATTTTTATGTGAAATGGATAAATTGATAAAATAAACGGTTTTTGATCATTACCTCCAATCTAAAATAATACCACAATAAAAGAAGTTTATTTTTCAAAGAGTAGGTAGCCAAATTTTAAGTTCAAATATATTAATAATGATATACCGTTATTGCAGTTTTTCAAAATGAGATTAAATAAGGCCTCTACTTTTATTTGAAATTATCTCAAATTGAATGTGATTTAAACGCAACAACGTTTTTGCCTACCGATCGACCCATACGAATATGTGCGTACGTAGTTAAAACAGTTAAAATAATGCATTACCACGCACTTTGAATTTAAAAGATAAAAAAGGAGAGAATGTTTGAGATTTTTTTTAATTAATTTTTCTTCACCATTTGCCTATATGCCTTATCCTGAACCTTCTCCACAGTTGCCAGTTATTGCAAAACAACCCTGTGTAATAAAATATTATTGTATTTTCACAGAAGACTTAATTCCTTCGTCCCCTTCTATCGTCGGACAAAGAGATTCGATATGTACACACCTTTGTAGTATTAGATATATATATTATATATACTAGCTGACCATGCAGACGTTGTTCTGCCATCTCCGACGACCCTGTGTCCTATACAAATTCTTAAATTCGTAATAAAAAATATTGAGGGTCACTTATAGGGATAAAAACTATCCTATCTCTCAAGGTGGATCAAAATGCACACAGTGTGCAAAATTTCATTGCAATCAGTTCAGTAGTTTAAGAGTTCATCGCGGACAAACAATGTGACACGTAATTTTTATATATATATATATACCACGCATTAGAACCATAGGCATCACGAAAACGGTCGTTCGTAATGCCTGTCTTTACTTCCCATAACAATAATATGGATATCTTTAAGGCAAGAATGAATAGGCTTTTGTTTAAGTTAGCTAGTGCACTTTACCACCTTAGGCTCAAAATCAAATATAGGTAGTATAGTAATGAAGCACTGACTGATAATAATTAAAAAAATATTATTCACCAGTAATAGAGATTTCTTATGATGTTTGATGCTTCACTACAAGGAACGGGGTTAGTCAGACAAAAATTTAAAATTACATTATTGTGGTTATTTGGCAGAAGGTGGTTAAGCGCACTAACTTAACTAAAAATCTTTCGAGATCATGTGAAGTCACACAAATTGGAGCAACTATTAAATACAATTTTGTGAAAAAAAATGTTATTGACATCTGAACTAACCGACACACGCATCTTTGACAATACTCTTTCCTCGGCCAATGCAGATGTAATAAACCCACATATAAATTTGCAAATATAAATGCATTGAAATTTCATCTCCAGTTTTCTGAGGTAATTTCTATATGTTGAATACTGATTCTGATAACGCACTTAAAGGGAACCACAGAGGTTTTACTACAAATATTCAGAAAAAAATTTTGACACAGCCGGACGTCCAGCCAGATTTTTTTTTGTAACGTTTAACCGCCGGGGATGCATGTGCATATCATTTACTTATCCTCATCATCATCATCATTACAGACATTCACAAGTCCACTACTGAACACATAGGCCTCCCCCAAGGAATGCCACAAAGCACGGTCCTGAGCCACCTGCATTCATCGATATCCTACATGTCTTACCAGGTTGTCACTCCATCTAGTGGGGGGTCACTCTACACTTCGCCTGCCGGTACGAGAGAAAAAAATGCCATAGTCTTCTTAGAAATGTCTATGCATTGCAGGAACTTGTTTTTCTTTTTTTTATAGAATAAGGGTGACAAACGAGCACACAGTCCACCTGATGGTAAGTGTTGTTATGGCCCATAAACATCTACATCTATCTTCGTTTAAAATTCAGATGCGTTGTCAGCCGTGAGGACTAAAATAAAATGCATATTTTCCAGTAAAATGGGTCTCCAATTAGACAATTGGAGTGTAGACACACTCACCATACGAAACACAGCAGCATTAAGCTTTTTTTTTAATCTTACTAAATATTTCATACATTATGTTCTTTAACAGATAAATTATGAACTTTTTGAAAGTCAGACATCAATAGACGCAGCTTCCACGAGGATGCTAAACGATGAGTTCGACCAACTAGAGCACGACGAGCTGGATGGCATGCATCAGCAGCAAGACCTGGAACAGGACCCAGATGGAACATCATGCGACGCAAACTCCTCAGAGTTGGATGTCACGTCTATCACTGCGAGTGAGCTGTCGATATACTGTGCCTCATTGAAGAAACCAAAGAAGAGTAGATCGAAAGAGGAAAGGCAGCTGCGCGATCTTGGGATGTGGCAAGCGAGCAACATTGAGGTTATGCAGGTGAGTGTTGGTCTTGTAAAAAATAAAACCTACTCTCAAATCCGTCACTGACTGGAACAAAATATAGATATAATGCATTGCTCAGGGTTGTGTATTTCTGCCTTTTTAAGCCTTTCGAAGTTATTCTTAAACGCGGGGCACATGCGTTGTGTAATGGAAAGATATTGCGGGAGAAAAATAAATTTTAATAACAGAGCACAGCCTACACCTACACATTAATAAACCTAGCAAGCTAACAGCATAGCAAAGTGGCGAAGCAATCAGCTTTGTAGCGGTTTCTAACGGTTGCCGTTGAGCAATCAGTTTTAAAATAGGAGGTTCAGATGCCTGGGTGATCCAGTAATCGATCGCTGAAAACAGAATTTGAAAATTCAAAACCGTTCTCGAGATAATCGTGGGACAGACGGACAGACGGACAGACGGACAGACATCGTGAAATCAATAAGTGACTTCGCAAGCTTCGCCACTTAATAAGTGACTTCGCAAGCTTCGCCACTTAATAAGGCGGCCTTGCCGACTCGACCTAAGTCACTGTTAATAATAGTAATAAAGGGACTTTGACATGATATGAATTTCGGAAGGTTAGGCGTTTATTTATGTTCTAGCGTGCGCCAAAGTGCGTCAAACGATAACGATGCTTTTACGCGGTAGAGCCAAGCTGCAGCTATATTTATTGTATAGTTGTAGCACGAATGAGTCGGCTCGATCGGGGAAGGACCACGCTCTCACAGAATACCAGCGTAAAATAGCAGCTTAATGCTGCTGTGTTGCGTACGGTGAGTGTAGAGAACCGGAGATCCTTTTTACAGAAAAAGAGGCATTCCATCTTAGTCCTCAAGGCGGACAACGCATCTGCATTTTGATTCGCAAACGATGATGTAGATGTATATGGGCCTCAACAACCACTTACCATCAGGGGAACTGTGTGCTCGTTTGTCACCCTATTTCTATAAAAAAAAAGATGATATGGAGCTGTGGCAGTTAGCAGTGCTCCACACCCGTGCTCCGGAAGCACGCAAAGCCGTTGATCCAGCGTCTGATCTCTCTCCGATTGTCTCGGATTGCCGTCTCATCGGAGTATGAGAGAAAAGATATAGAGAATGCACTTTTGCTTGCGCATACACTCGGGCACTATAGCCCTGTCTTGCGCAGATGGCCAGCCTACATTTAGACTGGCCGCCGTGACCGCAATTCGGTCTGGAAGACATTATTATAACATTAACCTCCGGTCCTAAAATCTAAGGGTCACTAGTTACGAGAGTAGTTCAACGAGCCGCATTCCATTTAATAATAGGTCCACCCGTTAAGCGTTACAAGTTGGCCGAAACCATCTAACTTATAGGGAAGCCTCTCAACATAACTACTGTTGTACTGATTTTGGTAATCAAGTAATATGCACTGTCAAAAACTCGTGCGTGCGACAAAATCCTATAGAGTGAGCATTAGTAATGAGAAATAGAGTTTAGTATAATAACATTTTTGTTCTCATGATGATTCAACTTGTAATATTTGCATACTCGAAAAAGGGTTATCTGTTACACATTTTTTTTTGAAGTGAAACTTCTTTATCGACTTAGTGAAGAAATTTAGTACGATATTAAAAATCTGAAAAACGGTTGACCTCACAGGCCATCAATGCTGGAACTTCCCTCTTATTTTGGAGCGCAACGCTTTAGTTTTTTTATTTTTTGAAAATCTTTGAAACAGCTCCATCGATTGCCTTGAAAATCTAATCAGTTCGAAGTCTTAATTACAGCCCTTCACAAGTCCACTGCTGAACATAGGCCTCCCCAAGGAATGCCACAAAACACGGTCCTGAGCCACCTGCATTCATCGACTTCCTGCATGTCTTAACAGGTCGTCACTCCATCTAGTGGGGGTCGTCCTACACTTTACCTACCGGTACGAGGCTGCCACTCGAAAACATTTTTCCCCATCGGTTGTCGAATCTTCAAGCTATATGGCCGACTCATTGCCACTTCAGCTTACTAATCCATTAGGCTATGTCGGTCACTGTGGTAATACTGTGGATATCCTCATTTCTAAATCTATCACACAGAGAAACCCCGAGCATGGCCCACTGCATAGCTCAAGGACCAGGTTTCAGTTCCATAAGTCATCACTTGCAACGCGCACTGGTTGTACCATCTCGTTTTCAAGTTTTGAGGTATACCTGACGAGAAGATGTTTCGTAATTTCCTGAACGCTGCCCAGCCGAGTTGAATCTGTACATCTGTTCAGCACTTCGATACACCGACAGTATATTTGGCACCGCTGAAGGGGCTGCAGCACCGCCCAAATTTTGACGGAATCAAAGGTTTTCTCATAGTGCACATACGCAAGACATAGTGGCAAATTGTACTTCTCGGTCTTCTGTACAATTTGCCGAAGGGTATGTATGTGGTCTTTGGTACCAAAGTCTTTCATAAAGAACAAGACCACCGCACTTCTGCTCCACACCTCCGGCGTAGTGCCACCATGTAGGACGGAATTAAAGTAAAATACCACCAGTAAAGTACCACGTAAAAAATTAAATTAATTTTTTTATGTGGTAGAGCCATGCTGCAGCTATGTTATGGTTGTAGCACGAATGGGTCGGCTCTACCGGGGAAGGACCACGCTCTCACAGAATACCAGCGTAAAATAACAGCTTAACCCTGCTGTGTTTCGTATGGTGAGTGTAGAGAACCGGAGACCCTTTTTACTGGAAACGAGGCATTCCATCTTATTCCTAACGGGTGACAACGCATCTGCATTTTGATTCGTAATCGAAGATAGATGTAGATGTTTATGGGCCACAGCAACCACTTACCATCAGGTGAACTGTGTGTCCGTTTGTCACCCTTATCCTAAAAAAAGCGCTCCTCAAGGACTTCAAGTACCGGTTTCCCACCCGCTTTCAGAAGCTCCGCTGTAATTCCTTATCCTACTTATATAAAATAATATAAGAATGAAAATGAGATGTCGTAAATAAGTTTCACTTCATACCTATGTGTATACACAATTATACGCACAATTTTTTTTATACCACGATATGTAACCACATTTTCTACAAATAAATGATAATTATTATTATAAAAACTACTAAAAAACGGGTCGACTTGAACAAAAAAAGATCACGCTCGCTCAGAATGCTAGCTTCAATACCAGCAAAATTATCCTATTTCGTACTGTGGGAAGTGTGAACTAAACCGGAAACCTACTACATATGAAACAAAACAGTCGCAAAAATCAAGCTATTCGTAACTACTATTGGCAATAATAAAAATAAATAAATAAATATATATGTATATATATATATAACGTGTCACGTTGTTTGTCTGTCTGCGATGAACTCCTAAACTACTGAACTGATTTCAATGAAATTTTGCACACTGTGTGCAGTTTGGTCCAACTTGAGAGATAGGATAGTTTTTATCCCGATAAGTGACCCTCAATTTTTTTTATTGCTAATTTCAGGAGTTTTATTTAGGAAAGAAAATGATTTTTTTATAGGATAAAAGTGACAAACGAGCACACAGTCCACCTGATGGTAAGTGGTTGCTGTGGCCCATAGACATCTACATCTATCCTCAATTACGAATTAAAATGCAGATGCGTTGTCACCCGTAAGGACTAAGATGGAATGCCTCGTTTCCAGTAAAAAGGGTCTCCGGTTCTCTACACTCACCATACGAAACACAGCAGTGTTAAGCTGCTATTTGACTCTGGTATTGTGTGAGAGCGTGGTCCTTCCCCGGTCGAGCCGACCCATTTATGCTACACCATAATATAGCTGCAGCATGGTTCTACCACGTATAAAATAATGGTCGTCGGAAAGGGCAGAACAACGTCTGCATGGTCAGCTAGTATATATATATATATAGAATAAGAGTGACACATGAGCACACAGTTCACCTAATGACAAGTGGATGCTGTGGTCCATAGACATCTACATTTATCCTCAACTAGCTGTTCCCCGCGATTTCGCCCTCGTGTACTTTAGGGTTTTAATTTTTTTGCGCGGAACCTTAATTATTTTTCTGAAACATAATACAGGTGCGTTGTCGCCCTTGAGGACTTGATGGAATGCCTCGTTTCCAATAAAAAGTGTCTCCGGCATTGCTATTATGTAAAAATTAGCAAGAATCGCTCAGTAGACGTACGAACAATCATTTTGTTTAAAGAAAGTTTCGTATTACGTAAGCGATCGCTTGCTAATCGTTTGCTATGCACTTATCGCGACTATACAAGCGACAATAGCAATTTGGTATAGTTCATTTCAAATAGGATGGCAGGATTCCACTTGAGACTTAGCAATTACAGCTGTAATGTTAATCTATTGTTGTGTGATTATTTTATTGCTTTAACACTTGAAGTTAAGCATCTGTTGATAATAATGAACCAGTATAGCTGGAATGACGAATTTTGGTACTTGAACATTAAAACAAATTAAATTGTAGATAAAAACCTTTATTACTTTTAACTTAACTATTTTAAATATTTATAACAACTTGTTAATATTTTGTTTAATCAATCACTCTGAAGAACATTCATCGGTATCTGTGTCCTCACACGTATTTATTATAAATGGTTGTATCCGATCCCTCGAAAATTCGTTTTCCACTCTTATGACATGGTCACAAACATTCTTCCAAAAAATTTTTTTAAAGATTTTTTATCTACAATTTAATTTGTTTTAATGTTCAAGTACCAAAATTCGTCATTCCAGCTATACTGGTTCAGTATTATCAACAGATGCTTAACTTCAAGTGTTAAAGCAATAAAATAATCACACAACAATAGATTAACATTACAGCTGTAATTGCTAAGTCTCAAGTGGAATCCTGCCATCCTATTTGAAATGAACTATAGTTGGTAGTGAGAACTGGAACTATTTAATGTCAATGGAATGTCAAACAGATGGTATGACAATGAAAAATGCTCGCTGATTGCTATCGTCATGCTCATAAAAGGCGTACGTAATATGAAAACTGACGCGAACTTTGAATGCATATTTAGTTTATCCATTGTTCGACAGAGGCAGCGCTGTCGCTAGTTTGCTATGGTTTGGTTATCGCTGATACATACTCGTAATACGAATTTGCGATTTATCAGCAATTATTGTGCTAATTTCGCTATCGCTAGCCTTCTGCAAGATACGTAATAGCGCTGCGGTTCTCTACACTCACCATACGAAACACAGCAGCGTTAGCTGCTATTTTTCGCTGGTATTCTATGAAAACGTGGTCATTCCTCTGTCGAGCCGACCCATTTGTGCTACAAAAATAATATAGATGCAGCGAGACTCTACCACGTCAGTCATAGTACAAATATATTAATATAGAACCCAACAAACAGAACCTGCTCAGCAGAAGCGGGACGCTAGACGAACAAATAAAGTGGGAGGCCATCGCGACCGCCCGGGGACTTTGCACATTAACTGACAGCTGCACATGCCACGACTGCACCACCGCGAAGTACCTCGCCGGCGTCACCGACGGGGACGGAGGCCTGGGCGCTGCGCCCCTTTTTGGTGCGATCGTCGGTTGCCAGATACAGTGAACTGGAGGATCTAATTAGAACAAATTATTTAAAGATCATTGTACGAAAATAACCATGAATACACCTGTATTTTTATTCTGTATTGTTAGAATATAAGTAGAAATAAAAATAAATGAAATATTTTAATAAATATACAACGTTTAATATAAAAACACTATGAAGAAGTAGGTGCTGTACACATATTTAGTAAAATTGTAGATTCTTATTCATAGATATCAGAAATATCAAAACCAAAAGAGTATATATTATAATCACTATACGTTTATCAAAACACTGAAAACTTGTTTCTGACACCTATGTTACGAGTTTAAAGGGATTTATATTTATATAAATTGAATTAGACTAATCCTTACTTTCATTGTTTATCACATTTACTGGTTATTATGAATTTTGCTACGTTACTATTGGATAATTTGATATAACCCAACCTAATCAAACCTAACCACGTTAATCACATATACGAGAAGCATCGATCACTAATGTTTTTTATTAGAGATCGATGCTTATAAAACAATAAATCAATAATGAACCAAATCTGAAATTAACAAGTGTAAAAATGTGAGGTAAGGGAAAAACCACTTTGCAGTATTAAATAGCAGCAAGGCGAAAAACTTTATTCCCATTGTGTTTAAATGTTCAATATGAGACATCAAAAAAAACCTAATCTATCTTTTTACACTGTTGCTAATCACACGATAATCGTGTGACTTAAAAATAATTATAGTACGTGAGGGTAATATGGTCATCCGGTTAATATGGTTACTTTCTTATAACTCAACAACTACAGTCTTGTTTACATAGGTGGTTTTTTTTTATATATATATCGTATCGGGAGTTCTGCCGCGATGTGCGTTCGTGAAATTTGGCGGCTGGGATTAATCTGAACAATTCCTCAGAGCACTCCCCGTGGTAGATGCGAAAGAAAATGCAAAGGGATGCGACATCTCTTCGCAGTGCCAATGAATCGAGCCGATCGGAAAGGACTCGGTCGTCAACGATTCGAGACGCTCTGCGCTGGATGCGGTCAAGTGGAAGGAGCTGGCACTGGGGAGCCCCTGCCCTGATATGGGAACATTATTCCATGTGAGGCCGAACCTGCGCCTTGGAAAGTTGCAGGCGGTATGCCGGCATGAAATACTGTCCCGCTCTACTGAGCACGCCAAGCTTTTTAGAGGCCAATTTGGCCTTCTCTTCCAAGTGACCACGAAACTGCACGTCAGTTGATATGTCGACTACGAGGATTCCGATACTGGCTGAGGCAAGAAGGGGAGTGCCTTGAAACTGAGGAGATACGACAAAGGGGTTCTCAGGAAGCCTTTGAATTTCCCTATTGCAAATCGTACTGTTCATTACTATATTTTTTTTAATTAGTTGACAATTTTTTTCGGTAACAAAATACGAATCACCGCTCGAGATGTGCATTTTTGGATTTTTCAGGCTATTTTTATGTTTATCTGGAGTAAACGATTAAACTGATATTTATCAGAAGCTATAAGATTTTTCGCCTCTTTCAACGTATGTTACACACAATACTTGCTATGAATAACTTTATAAAGTTTTAAACATTATTTTTGTAATAATTTTATGCTTTTTAATACAGTGACACCTGGTTAAGTGGGACCTGGATAAGTGAGAAACCTCTTTTATTGAGAGTTGCAATGAGGTCCCGGTTCTTTTTCATTAAATTACCTCTGTTAATGAAACTTTTTGAACCTGGTTAAATGAGATTTGAATTCTAACAATTTTTAGATGTTTACCTCTATAATTGAGACTGTAGCTCAATTACGTGTAGTGTATAAAGCTAGGGTCCCACGGCCTGCCAGGCGACAGGCCGCGCCAGGCGTTGTCCCGCCTGTATGGGCCTGTCGCGGCCCGTACTGAGCGTTCCCACGGCGTGTGCCGGCCTGGTGCGGCCTGTCGACTGACATTCCAACATGTTAAGTGATACGGAGCGCATGGCTGCGTGTGCAGTCGCTGTGGTTTTATTCAGTGATGAACGTTTGATAAACCAAGCTTTTTCTTTTTTAACTCCGTGATAGGGATAGTTCCATGTTTAAAATTAGTTTTTATGCGTAACCACGCATCATGGACATCATTCTTGTTTTTATGTTGAGGCGACGTACTATTCCAAAGCGCTGGTTCATTTTCATAAAGAGTTAAAAACTCGAATATAAGCTCGTTCGTCCATTCCATCATGAGCATGTACGCGCAAGCGCCACCGCAGTTGAAATGAACGATTGCAACCGACGCAGACGCGCCCGTACAGGCCGCGACAGGCGCCGTCGCGCCGCGCCTTTGATCTTACCGACTCCCGATGGATCGGACGGGCGCCAACAGTCCACCACAGGCCTCATCGGATGCGATGGTTCCCACGGCCTGTTGTCCGGCCTGGCGCGGTCTGACCTGTGACAAAACAGGCCGTGGGACCCTAGCTTAAGTGAGACAAATTAATCTGGTTTTAACATGATTTGACAAGTTTGTTTACATACATAATGTAAACAATACATTTCAATATATATATATATTCAATACATTTCATAATGTAAACAATACATTTCGCGTCGTCTTTCGCGTTCGCGCATGCTTTGTTTGTCAGTACGTGGGCTTCTGTAAATGAGACAACTATAATTCAAACTTGCTTAATTGTTAACCTGGATTATTAGAAACCCTCAATAATTGGTACATATGTCTTGGTCCCTTGAAATCCCAATTAACCAGGTTTCACTGTATTTATGCCAAATGTGAATAAGATGATTGCTTTGTCATTTGATACAATCATTAGATATATCTATTTTCTACTGTAGTCACCTCATATGACGCCCATGTGACGGAATAAAGTGGTGGTTCTATACCGCCGTCAATGCAATACAATGTAATTTTGATTACAATTCTATCACTGAATGTTTACGAAAACAAAATATGTGCGTGGTGCCGTGTGTGTGAAGTGTGGTGAAATCATTTTGATTCTAAACCGTACCGCTGCCGCAACTTGTGCGGCTTGGGTCTTATGTACTTTTGGTGCAAATATTCGTCGTATAGTGTTAGAAAACTTTGTATGTGTGTAGATAAGAATGGTCAATTTTACTTACTACTTTCAAACCCATTGATAAGATTTATAAATAATTGAACGAAGTTAACGAAAACATTCTTATGTTCAAGTATATTAGCAAGTTACACGTTGTTTTATAATTAGCAATATTTTTGATTTCAAAGACTTGTTTCTGACAGTTCATAGAAATAAAATTTTTGTGAGTTAGGTTTTGATTTTTGATTACATTAGAAAATTCAGCTGGACATATGTGATGATGCAGAACCACGAAATCAGCAGACCTCACGAAATTTATCACTGCTCCCTGTCGGCAATAGGTGTTATACAAATGTAATTATGTTTAAAAATGTAATTATGTGTATCCGTACGAGAAAGCTCAAAGTCCCTCAGCGAGATATGGAGAGAGATATGCTCGGGGTTTCTCTGCGTGATAAGACTTAAAAACGACAATATCTGCAGTAGAACCATAGTAACCGACATAGCCCAATGGATTGGTAAGCTGAAGTGGCAATGAGCCTGCCATATAGGTCGAAGAACCGACAACCGATGGAGAAGAAAGATTCTAGAGTGGCAGCCCCGTACCGGCAGGCGAAGTATAGCTAAATGGAGTGAGGATCTGATAAGACAAGCAAGAAATCAATGGACGCAGGTGGCTCGGTACCGTGCTTTGTGGCGTTCCTTGGGGGAGGCCTATGTTCAGCACTGTGAAGGGCTGTAATGATGATGATGATTGGCTGTAGAAGGCTATCTTACGGCAACATTTTTATCCTTTTTGTTTAACTTCGTTTAATTATATCAATTATCGGTTTGGTACTATTGTACATGGTATTTTCCGTAGAATCAAAAATAATGTAACGAACTTATATTTATAATATAGAAATGGTAACTTAATTCCGCACTTTTGATGTGTGTCAACTAGAAAATTAGTAAGAGTGATTACCTACTTTATTTTAGTAGTTTAGTATTATTAGGTCTTCTTTTTAATCTTTTAAGTAAAAAGAGTCTGCGTTATAGGTTATATAAATAAATTATAATGTACTTAATAACTTTCCTTTGCATGCACTGTAAGTAGGGTTGCCAGATGGTCGGGATTCGTCTGGATTCTCCCGACATTTTAAATGATCTCCAGACTCCCGACAAAACTCAAAATCTCCAGACAAACAGCTTCTTGGAAAGTTCTATACAAAATAATAAATTAAAATTACCACGTGCGTTCACGTTCTTCTTCGATGGCTATCTCTTTTGCCCACTTTAGATAATTTACTGTATTGTTAGACTGCTGTAAAGCAGTTTATTTTTTTGTTGAAAGGGGAAGTCGTAAGGAGATATTAATATGGGAGTTTGTAACAAAAAAGTATTAGCCATATTGATAATAATAGTGAACGGATTGACGAATGCAAACAGGAAGGGGATTTCAGAAGCCTATTTATACTTTGTACTTTGTAACGTAATGTTGGAGTTCCAAGTAGCAATTTTAGCATTCGAAAGTGCTGCAGGCACTGTCCTACAACTTAAAAGTGTAATGAAAAAACTAATGAGTCATCTAAAAACAGGTTGGATGACAAATTCTTAGGTAGTAGAAAAATAACCTTATCAAGGAACGTTTCCGATAGTGAGAAAACCCCTTTTTGCGTCAAAGCTGAACATTTTTTAAAACGAGCTATTCAATACTTGCAAGAACACTATTTTTCTGAGAACTCTCTTTAAAAATTCGCTGTATTATCTTTAGAAGGTGCAAATTTATTTACGTGGGAAGAGAGAGTTATCCGTCTGACGTACTTAATATTTCAAACCGATATTGACTTTATATACCGATATATGTCTTCGAGAAACACTTAAACATCTTCCAAAAATATGTAAAATGACAAAATTTGAGCATTTTTTTAAAATGCAACCAAAACGACCTAAAACTTGAAAAATAATTTATGTTATATGTCAACAATGATAAGTC